AGGTGTTTAAAAAGAAATCCAAGTACGCAGGTCAGGATAGATGTTAAACATGAACTTCAAATTTGGTTCTTGAGCTTCCTGACAGTCAAATCAAAAAGAGCAAAACTTTCACTATCAGAAAGTGGTTTCCAAAAGTTTTTTAGAATCACATTCTAAAGTATCTTACATGGGACTTTATATAAAGGGTATTCTATGACATGAAGAACAATGCCCCTGACCAAATATGGTTAAAATGTTTTATATGGTTACTTTGAGTAGCTTGTTTAGGTGAAGGTATCAAATTAAAATTCTACCCACTGAAAGTGATACTGCTAAGGGGTGCTTCTGCAATACATATTTTTATATTGAAAGATTCTTAAGACATGGATTAGTTTTCCCAATTGGGAGAGCAATTCTTATTTAATGGCTAGGAAACTCCAGTACAGACATCAAAAGTACATTAACATGGTTAATACAATTTCATCATTTAGGGGCAGTCCTAAAATTTGAACCTCCAGATTCAGCAGGGAACTTTAGTGTCTCACAACTTCAACAACACTGACTGTAACCCAAGGCTTCATAAGGATTTACTGGAAATTCTACCCTTCCCAAATGATGCCCTCTACTACAGGGAATTAGTTTGAGGCATGTTCATGTATAGCACATTTTGAAGATAAAGAACTGTAAACAGTTTCAGTGTTAAAAAAACAGAAATACCTAATTTTCAGCATTTTGTGAAAAAATTCTATAAATTACCCAAAGCAGCAATATGTAACCAAACACACTGAATGTTTCTAAATGTGTGCAAGAAGCCATGGGCAGCAAGGAATAATCAACGAGAGACGTAGCTGCTGTTCAATCGAAGTATTTCTCCTGCAATCTGCTTTGGGAATAATGAAGGTGGAAAATATCTAGAGAGAGCATCTAGTCTGCATATACACTTTTGCCCTGTTTTCAAAGATCTCTATATAGATATCTACTCCAGTTTGTTCTTATCGTAAATCTTAGCACCAACAGTTTCTGCACCTTGTTACACACTTGGTAATTATTAAGCAACTAGTGTTCTTTCATTAACAAGATAATCACAATTACCCTACCTTTCTCCAAACACCTTACCTAATCATCTTTAGACCTCTTACTGGGGCATCCATTATTACCCTGAAAACATACTAGAACTGTTTGGTACTTTATTTATTTATTTTTATTTTTTATTATTATATTTATTTATTTATTTATTTGAGAGAGAGAGAGAATGAGAAACAAGAGAGCATGAGAGGGAGGAGAGTCAGAGGGAGGAGCAGACTCTCTGCTGAGCAGGGAGCCCAATGCGGGACTCGATGCCAGGACTCCAGGATCATGACCTGAGCAGAAGGCGGTCACTTAACCAACTGAGCCACCCAGGCGCCCCTGTTTGGTTCTTTAATACAAACCACAACTTCCCAGGATTTAGGTTATTTCATGATTTGTTCAAACTACAAATTAAAATAAAACTAACAGTTTTATTTATAAGGAGCGATGCTATATCTTGGAATTATTCAAAACAATATTCTTAAGTACTGAGATAATTGATCCCATACAGTTTACCTTCTAGCAGGAAAAACAGACAACAAACTGGTAAACAAGTTGTCAGATTGGAGTGCTATGAAAAAAAAAATTTAAGTGATAAGGGGCAGAGAGGGTTTTTGTGAGGGGGCAGTATCTGCCCTGCAAAGATGAGAATAATGTTCCAAGCAATTTTTGGCTTAAGTAGGTTTAACTAGTTATTCTGCTATATATGCATTCATTCTGAATTGTATAACCTTGCACTGCTCCCTCCTGAATGTTCTTGTTCTTAATTTGAAGACTAATTCTATCTTTTAAAAGCTTTTTATTACCTCAATTGGTGTATCCCATAAGTTTAAGAAGCATGCCTTCTAATTTAAACAAGTATTTTATAATATTAGTTCATTCTTTTAGTATATGTTTCTTCCAAATTACCTTTAACAATGTGTGAAAAATAACAATATTTGAAAAAAATTCCTTGTGTTCCTGGATAGGTCTACATGAATATTCTAAAAAACAGTAATTTTGTGATTCTTTCAAAGTCGAACAGGCTGAAAGCAAACTGGCAGAGTAGGACCCATTCAGAAGATGAGGCTGATGGGAGGATGGAAGACACAGTTAATTAATGATGGCTTGGTCTAATAGTAGTGAAAGCCCAACAGAGAAGTTAGTTGACAGAGATCACATATGTGAGATGAAGAGGCAAATCAACTGGCAAAGCTGGAGGGAACCTTTTGCACCATACTAGCTCTTTGAGACATGCTGCCACCACCTGGGCAATAAGAAATTCTAAAGTATGGAAAAATTTTGGTTGTGATAATCAGTTAATTAACAATTACAAAATCAAAAAATATACTTTTATTTTATGAAATCAGCTTTTGGTGTCTTTAGATATTAAGGAAGAGCAGGGATTTTGACAAGGTGTGTTTAGAATCCTGCTCTACTTTTCAAGACTCTGATTCCTTATCTGTAAAATGGGTGTAAGAGCATTATCATTTGGGGTTGTTTAGTCTCAGGATTAGTAATAGATCTGAAGCATCTAGCCCAGTACCTGGTACATAGTAAGTACTCAATAAATAGCTTTTAAGAAATTATTATTCTTCAGTATGATCTTACAAATACTGCTAAGGCCTGATTATTACTTTTTAAATCAATAATTGTGCCCTTTAAGAAATGTATTTTCAGGGCGCCTGGGTGGCTCAGTCAGTTAACTGTCTGATTTCGGCTCAGGTTGTGATCTTGGGGTCCTGGGGTAGAGTCCCATGTCTGGCTCTTTGCTCAGTGGGGAGGATGCTTATCCCTCTCCCCCACTCACACGTGTGTGTGTGTGTGTGTGTGTGTGTGTGTGTGTGTGTATGCGTGCGCACGCTCTCTCTCTCACATAAATAAAATCTTAAAAAGAGAAATGTATTTTCATTATGTTTCAATGAAAGGAAAAAACTAACAATAAAATTTAGGGGAGAAACCAATTTCATCAAATTAAGTCAAATATGTGGCAGGTAGGAAAATTCTCAAGATCTTTAGTCAAGTCTAGCTTTTTATAATAGAATCTTATTCAGGTTTTACTCATTCATGATTTTTTCTCATTCACAATTTTGACATGAGTCAAGGGGAAATGCAACTTTGTACTATCAAGAGAAAAAGACTTTTTAAACAAACAACAGAGTAGGACTTAAGAGAAAAAAAACAGCTAAAGTTTTATAATGTTTTTTTCAAGATAACTAGTGTGAATAGGACGGGAAGTGTGATACACTACACAGGAATTACGCAAAGACAAACACTCCTTAATAGTGTAATGCTTTGTTAATTCGGTTAAAGTTACATGAATAAGATTTCTTAAAAATAAATACAAGCAGAGCTTATTTCCTTGTTATTCTAAGTTGGCAATTCTTAAAGACATTTGTGAAAGAACAAAAATCCAATTAAGGATCTTTTCAAATAAAGGATAAGACCTTAAGAAAATTGGCTATGTTTCCACTAAATTCCTTGTTCTGCTGCCACTTATGAAGCCTAAGTTAGAAAAAAGGCCAAGCCCAGTCCAACTGACATAATTTTAAAGCTGAAAGAACACCGGAGATGACCTAGTGTATGTTCCACATAAAGAAGAGGAAACAGGTTCAGAGTGACTTACAGTGTATACAGACCAGCAGAGACAAGGCCTGTGAAACTCAACTCACAAGCTAAGACTCCTCACTACAGAAAATAGTGCACAGTATTTGAACCAATCTTGACACCATCTTTCATGAAGGCAATGCAGGCTGCATTAAGGGGCTCAGCTGTGGCAACCCCTATGCTATTCCTGGGCTCGCATCCTGTCCTGGAACTGAAAACTAGGTCAGCAGTATTAGGCTGTGAAGGCAGGGTCTAGACGACAGCCAAAGAGCTACAGATGCTTCTGTCTTATGCACCTTTTCTTGCAGCCCAAGATTCCAATGCATTTAACTAGAGAAGCAGCAGAGCAAACTACTGGGAAGGCAGTAACTGGGTATACTGTGTACCCAAGATTCAAACAAAACACACACACCTTAGCCTCTGGAGTGAAGGATGTTAAAATACATTCTGACCCCCTCCTGGAATTAATATTTGAACAAGTTTTTAGAGATCACATAGTTACCTCTAGCAAGTAAAGTTTTCCGTACACACAATCCAGTGACTGAGTCTGCTTTTTCTGGCTACTAGAGGTACAGGCTAGGTCCAAGCAGCAAAAGCTTTGAAACCATCATCCAAGTTTTCAAACAAGAATGAGTAAGAAAACAACTGCTGCTAATACAACATACAAACAATAACATATGCCCAACGAACAGTATTGTAGATCACTAGATTATTTGCCAAAAGCCTGTTCCCTGGTAAATGATAGTTACTGCTGTTATAGCTAAACTAGTTATGCATGTCACAGCTTGCCCCTCAAAGAGAACATTCTATAGTCTCTCAAGAATAAAAACCTGCTTTATTTGACACACAAAAGTGAAGAGGTCTTGCAACATTCGCAGTGGTAGTCAAACAGAGCAGTTCAGCGCAAGCAATCACAAAATTTGGTCACCAACCAAACCAGAGTTAATCTCTCAGTTCCTGTAGATTAGAAGACAATATTAAACTCACTCTTTCTGCTTGTTGACTTTTGCATCCCTTTATTTGTGGACTGAAAGAACAAGTTATCTCTGTGGGAACTCTATGCCCAGTTTATTTACCGGGTTTACTTTGGGCAAGTATGGTTCATTTTGTGTGGGGATGTGTGTGTGAAATGAGTTAGGTTCTCAAACTAAAAACAAACAACAAAAATCCCCTCTTCACACAGCATGGTTGCATTTTCCCTTAGTAATAAGGTTCAGTGGATCCACCATGGTCCATTTGCTTCATTGTCTCCAGTAGGTGAGGCTTTAACTATTGTCCAACCAGAAGATGAGAGGGGCAAGGGGTGGGGTGGGAACCGGGAGAAGGAACTCTCCAGAATCCCTCAACAGTCGTTGGGTGACCCTCACCTTGACTTCGGGCGGTTTGTGGAGACCAACTCCTTTCCTGCCGCCGCTCTTTAGTCTGTTTCCAGGGGCTACATACATCACCCATCGGGGCTCTCCATCAACGGTCTGGCTCGAGCAGGGCAGGGGGGCTGTCTCCTGGCTTACATCGGGGGCAAAGGCAGAGGGCCCGCAGGGTTCCGGACCGGCTCCCGGAGACCTGAGTCCACCCGCGTCTCCACGCTGGCCCCTTCGTCCCGGCGGGAGGCCGCCGGTCTCGGGCTCCTAGCCAGCGGCTAGCCGGGGCGCCGCCGCACACCGGCGGGGCCTCACCTGCGGCTTCCCGGGAAGCCGGGTGCCGCCCTCCTCCGCCCCCGCCCCCGCCAGTCCTCGAAGTCGAGATCCCGGGACCCACACAGCAATGGCGCAGCCGGAAACTGGCCCCTCGACTTCCTCAGGCCCACTCCGGGCTGGGGCCGGCCTGTGGGCGGGACGGGAAAGCCGCGGCTTCCGCCTTCCTGCTTCCGGCCTGGAGGTGAGTTTGGGAGTAGGGGTCTGAGCCCAAGGTCCCCGGCCGTGATGTAGAGTGGGCTGGTGGCGGTCCCTGGGGTGGGTTTGCCCGCGTGCCCAGAGGAGGCGGCCACGTCACCGGGCGGGCCGAGCTGCGGCGGGATCAAGCCTGAATTCCCGGGAACCGCCCGCCGAGGCCGAGGGGCGCCTGAACGCGGCCCCCTGGGCTGGGCGGCCAGATGGGATAGGAAAGCAGGAATGAGCAAGGGCGAAAACAGGGATGGACGGGACGTGCTGATGGCGGTGAAGTACCATTCGCTGCAGCTTCAGGAGCCGCGCAGGTCTGGTTTGGAGATCAAGCCCGGTCGACCCGTTACGGAAAGAGGAAGGATAATACGGATTCCTCCAAGTGTGGAGACACGTGCCCTTTGGGTCCGAAATTGAAGTGCACTGGAGCTGTGTGGTCTGTGGACGATAACTTTTTTGCGTTAATGACTAAAACAGCCACAAACTGGGTCCTTCACTTCCGCGTTACTCTTTTTTGCAAAGTTTTTTTTCCGCTTATCACTGAATTTTGCCTTAGTTAATTCATTACCGTGCTAGAGAAGCTGAAGGGACAGATGGGATCTCTGTGTGGTCCTAAGAATTCAAGGGCAGGGGGCGGAAGCTAGACTACTTAACAATATACTACTAGAGGCGCTTTAACTAATGTTTTCTGTTGAAAATATGAAGAGGCCGGTGGAAGGATATTAAAGCCAGTGGTAGTTTCCTTGAAATGATGGGATTGTGATTTATATTTTGTCTTGGTTTTCTGTAAAGAACACGAATTGTATAATAGGGAGACCAAAAAACCTTTAAAGAATAAAGTAAGATGTTTGATTTTGTAATTATATACCTAACCCTATAAGTTAATGACATTTTTAGCATTAAAAGCTCAAAACCTAGAAATGGATGTGCTGTAACTTATCAGTGAACTAATTTGTCTTTTTATATATCCGTGAGCTTCATAATTTTATTTTAGAAGTAATTTAGTAAAATACTTGTAATTACTCCAGTAGGATTTTCTTAGCATTTGCAATTGTAGTAATGATTTCTTTCTTCAAATTAGGAAGATATAGATATTAAATGTCTATAATATGCCAGGCAATTTTACAGATTGCATATATACGATTTCAAAATAGTCCATTTGAAAGTGTCTTAAAGTTATCCTGAATGTCCTGACTTAAACTTTTTTTCTTTTATCTGTTCTTTTCAACCCACCCAGTATATAAAATTTAAACCTTCTCTCACAAGTGTATGGTAGAGCTAAAGAAGACAAACAAGCAAGGGTCATCTGAAATTGTAATTGGCTCGCTAATAATCCCAGGACTAAGTTGGAAAGAAGTACTCAAGCATAAGGTAGATGACTTTTTAAATTCCAGCTGAAATTGTGGATGTATGTACACCCATTCCTACCCAAGTATTCCTAATTTCCACCTTTGAATAGAGGTTGACACAAACACTGAAAGGTTGAAAAGCCTCTGGGCAAAACAGAAAATGTGACTCAGATCCACACCATTCTTATTTACCAGATTGCCCTCCCATACCAACTCAAAGTGGAACAAAATGCATGGCACCTGTTATGGGTAATTTTCTCATTTATTAAATTATGTCCTCAAGTAGGAGTCTTCAGAGCTGAAAGAGGGCATAAAATAGCATGTCACTTTTTTGCATATATCTCTGCATAGGAATATGGATATTTTCATGCTTCCCATACTCTCTCCTTTTCATTCCTGGAAACAGCCCTCCATTACCTTCCTTTCTCCAAGCATTTCATGTACTCTGTGGCTTGTCCTTTCCAAACACCAAATTTGATGAATCATACTTTTGTTAATTGTACTTAATTCTAAGGATGTGTCAAAAAATTACAGGATTCCTCTGTTTCCTGGAAAGAGTGCTTTAGACTCAAGATTCTTATAAAAATGTCTGCTGCTAAATAAGATTTGTCTTGATTACGAAGAATGCATAGTCCCTATGACAGAATCCACATGGTTTTTAATCTTCTATACCTTTACATCTTTTAAGTGTTACCTAGTTGAATTATTTCTTCTTAACTGGAGAGAGCAGTCTGTTCTAAAATAGTACTAATTGATGCTTTTTAAAAATAAAAAATAACAGAATTCTGAGTTAACTGATTGTATGCTTTTTTAAAAAATTTGATTAACCACATAGTCTTTTCTTTTGTTGCCCCTCTCTTCTCTTTTCCAAAGACGACTACAAAGATGTTTGATATAAAGGCTTGGGCTGAGTATGTTGTGGAATGGGCTGCAACGGACCCATATGGTTTCCTTACAACAGTTATCCTGGCCCTTACTCCATTGTTTCTAGCAAGTGCAGTACTGTCCTGGAAATTGGCCAAGATGATTGAGGCCAGGGAAAAGGAGCAAAAGAAGAAACAAAAACGTCAAGAAAATATTGCAAAAGCTAAACGACTAAAAAAGGATTGAAGGAATGAACGAACAGGCTATATAACTGGAGGAACATCATTTGGAAAATTATTCAGTGTTGAAAGGACCCACTAAGGTTTCTTTTCTGGTTTTTATGTCAGTAATTTGTTGTAAACAAAGTCGGAGCACCTGTAAGAATCATGTTAGTTGTGACCTCTACTGCAGCAACTTTTAGGTTTTGATGTAGAAGTCTGTTGACAGTTAACTGTAAATTGGCTTTTATTATGCTATAAATTCTTTATAATTGACTTAGTCATTTGCCATTTTGCAGATTGTGTTCTGAAATGAAAACATCCTGTGGAGAAAAATGACTGTACATTATGAACTCTATTATTCAAATAATGGCTTAGAATGGGGTCCTGTTCTAGACAAAGGGAATTGAGAATGTAAAAATCATGAGAATGTAAAAATCAAAACTGTCCAATGGTGAAAAGTGTGCTTTGGCTTAAAGAGGCATATAGTATATTATTTACATCTTCTATTATTATTGCTTATTTCTTGGAATAGAATGATTTCTGGCTTTCTCAAAGCTACATATTAACCAATGACTGCGTTCTGCATTTTTCTCATTTTAGTCTTTGAGATAATTATCAGACATTCTATATTTTTTACAATCTCATTTTATAAAGAATTCTCTTACTGGCTATGTAGAATACCACCTACCAGATAGAACAGTTTTTGTACTTATGAACCTGCCATTTTCTTAGAGATGTCTTGAGTAGAGTAACACTATGATTTAAAGCTTGCAGTAAAAATGCCAAACCTTGTGGTACCTTGGAACCAGTTTATTCTTTATTGTGCTATGTTGAAATGTAAAGTAGTTAAAATGTCTTATCACATAATTTGCTCATTACATAGATGCCACTTTTGTGTTTTTATTCATTTCTTCATTTTAATTTATCTGGTAGTGATGTTCTATACTTTCTGATCAAACAGGTTCATGGTGAAAATTAAAATTTCAGACTTCTCTTAAGGAATTCTTAAAAAGTAATAGTTAAGTACTATTTCATAAGTGGTAAGGTTTAACATTTGGAAAAATTTTGTTCATCATACTAGTAATTGGGTGAAAAAGACAAATTATGTCAAAATAAGAATGTGTTAAAATTAGAAATAAAGAGCTAAAGGATATTTCCTTCAGCTAAGTAGTATAACTGGAATTTTTTTACTGTTAAACATGGCTTTTATAAATGCATAGGCTAATAATTTTATTCACTGTCAGCACATAATAGCTTATTAACGTTTTCCTCACCTCTGATAATGAATTTTAAATTACAAAAAGTTGTCCACCAGCTTTAATTTAAAAATGAAACTAGATACTGAAATAAATTTGATACTTTTTTATAAAGAGGTCCTGGGTTTTTTTGTTTTTAAAGGGGGGTTAATAATAAGGTAATTAAAGTTAGATGTGTTATAGAAGTTAGACTTTTAAGAGGGTTTTGACTATCATTTCTAGCTAAAAGCCTACTTAGAAAAGTTAAGGGCAATGTTTCTCAACTATGAAAACATAAGGACTGCTGAGAATGCTTATGGATTGGTCTAAACACTAGTACTTTCACTTTAGGTTGTCAGTTTCTACTTGGTGCCAGTGGAATGAACATATTGCAACTCCAGGCACTAAGGTAATTCAGTGTTCTGTTCTGTTACTTAAGCAAGCTAGGATATCTAGTGATCTTTTTATTGTCACTGAACTTTTTAATAGTTGAAATTATCATTGGAATTAAAACTTAAAAATATGCTTCTATAGATCTACTGGCCCTCCTGGGCCCGCAGAGCAGTTTTAAGAAAAATGAGGTTAAGATATATCTAAAATGTGTTTGGGTTTCTATAGTCAAGCTGTTCGTGAAAGGTATTTATATACATAAATCTTGCTTATGGCCACATTTTAGAGTCAAATATTGAAACAAAAGGTATATTCACCATAATTCTCAGTTATCTACTAAAAGCTGTGTTTTCATTGGTTCTCTTGTTACAATTTAAAGTTAGTTATTTAACTGAAATCTGTTTTTCTATCATTTCTTTTTAAAGTCTAACACATGCCAGTTTTGTATTTGACATATGCCATTTGTTCCTTCAGCTTTAGCTTTTTCCAACATTTATGAAGCCTTTTTATATATGCGAGATCAATAGGTTTTATAATATGTATGTCTGTGTACTTATGTGTATGTGGGGGGTTAATGGGGGGATGTAAAATAGAGAGTATTGTGAGAGTTGGGATTCCTCAGAAAAATCAATCTTTTCTCACTGCAACAAATAGTACTATTGATGAAAGAATCTCATTTACTATTAGCTATAATACTTTTAAAAATTGCCCTTTATATTGTTTCTGAAGTTTTGAGAATATAATCAGTTACCTTTTTATGGCTGGTTTTGGAAAAACAGGCTGTCTAAAACACATTTTACCCAAAAAGAAAAAAAAATTTGTGTGTCAGAATTTGATCCATACTATCCATGTGATAAACTTCAGCGTGGTATTACTGTATGAGATATACTTTTTAGTACAGCATTTTTTACTTTTATTTCTTGAAATTATAGTAAGCAAAGTAAGCTTACCATGCTGTGAGCTGGAAAACCAATGTTGAGATAAATTAAAATTAGCAGGTCCTGACCCATTCCTTCTCTCCTTGTACCTAATGTAAAGGGGCAAGGGGCACTTACACCTTATCTGGTATTATGTGAGAGGAAGTCTGATTCCTATTCATGATTGTTTTTATGTTTGCAATTGGTTATAGCATCACTCTGATTTACTTCATATTTGGAATATATACATGTATATATACATGTAACCTCTGGTAACCCTCAGACATATTAAAACAGATTCCATGTTCAAATACCACAAGTTTGGAAAATATAAAATAGAACTTAGGATTTATTCCTAAGAGATTTCTTGAAGTCTTTTAACGTAATTTGACTATCATAGACTCTCCTCACTTCTGTTTTTTTCCCCACACAAACACAGTTTGAGAAAGCCTGTTCTATATAAATTCAGGTTACATTTTATTTTATTTGTTTGTGTTTTATTTTTTGTTTGGTGAGATCAGGTTACATTTTAAATAGTAAAGTTAAAGATAGCATTAAAAAGATAACATTAAAAAATATAATGGTTTTGGTTCAAGGCTGATTAAGAAATGAAGTAAGTGACAGCCAGAAATCAGTTCGTCAAAGTAGAAATGGAAAAGAGTAACATAATAATGGGAAAATTTTTTTCCTCCATTTTTGTTGATTTTCAACTTCACATATCCAAGCCATAGCTAATAGGCTAGATTTGTATGATTAAACCCATCAGCCAACAAATTTTCTGTACTTCAGTCAGAAATCTGCTACGTGCACATAGAGCACAGGCATGGGAAATCAAGAACAATTTACCTCTGAGAAAGTACGTAAGGTATATACAACACTTTCATTACTTTGAAATGAACATTTTTGCTTTTGGAATTAAAAAAATTTTGCATAGGTCTTAAGTCTTGAAGAAATAAAGATATTTTCACTTATTTTAAGACATTTTCATAAAAAAACTTGTAAATGTCCAAAATATAATTATTTAAAATATGATATATGGTGGACAAACTAATACTTTATTTAATGCTTTAATTGTACTTTGCATGTGTCTGGCATAAAAGCCAAATATAAAAAAGTTTGCTTAGAAAGGTAATTTAGGCCAAAGTTATAGTTCAAATTTTAGGTAGGACATTTAACTCTGTTTTGATACCATCTAACAGCGCCACTAAAAAATGTCAGTCTTGAGAAAAGGAGTGCGGATGGATTACTATAAATGTCATTTCCATTTCTTGAAATCACTGTAATACTGCATGCTCTAGGGGTATCTGGTTGGTTCAGTCAGTAGAGTGTGCGACTCTTGATATTGGGGTTGTAAGTTTGAGCCCCACATTGGATGTAGAGATTATTTAAAAATAAAATCTTTTTTAAAAAAGTGCGTGTTCTACTAATAATGGTGGGCCAGTATCATAATCTCACTTCAGGTATTTTTCCACAAGGACTTTTGGTTAAGATTTTCTTTTGCTGCTTCTGTAAAACAGGTATTTTAATTTAATTTATTTTACTTTATTTTTTAAGCTTCATCTACTTAGTATTTATTATCTTTAGGTTTTTATTTAAATTCCAGTTAGTTAACATACAATGTAACATTAGTTTCAGGTGTGCCCTTTAGTGATTTAACACGTCCACACATCACCCAGTGCTCATCACAAGTGCCCTACTTAATCCCCATCACCTGTTTCACCTACCCTCCCATCCTCTGGTAACCCTCAGTTTGTTCTTTATAGTTAATAAAACGATGATTTTAAAATGAAAACAAAAATTAAAATGAATGTAAATTCTGTCATACATTAAGATATTTACAGACTGTAGGCAAACATTTATAAAAAGGTATGTATAGAATACATTCATTTATTTACTTAAAGATTTTATTTATTTATTTGACAGAGACACAGCGAGAGAGGGAGAAGCAGGCTCCCCGCCGAGCAGGGAGCCCGATGTGGGGCTCCATCCCAGGACCCTGGGATCATGACTTGAGCCGAAGGCAGACGCTTAATAACTGAGCCACCCAGGCGCCCTATAGAATACATTTAATAAGCTAATAGGTATTTGGCAGTAGAAATATTCTAGCATGTTAGAACATTTGCAATTTTTCTTATAACCCAGGACTCAAGAACATCTTAATTTACAGTCATTTGTACCTCTATACTGCCTGGTGACTAGTTACTTTTTTAAACTGGTAAGAACAGATACTACACTTGATCTTAGCCAAAAGGCCAAGAAGCAATGACTAGTTCCTTTTTTGCCTGTATGGTAAAATGTAATATTTTGTAATGACAGAATGGTTAAACTCACGTTAGCATGTTGCTGGAATGGTAGTATTTTCACCAAGGAGCTTTTCTGTCATTCAATAAGTAGGTTATGGTAATTACATTTGATTATTTGTTTTAATATTATATTTTATAAGGTATTTTTCTGTAATTTATTAAGCAATTAAAATTTCTGCCTTCTATTAAGTAAAAATGTTAACCTATGTGTTTTTAGGAATTCACTGTTAAAACAGGTAACCAAGGATTTCCTATACAGCATTAAAATTTGGATCACTTAATCAGTAAATATTTATTGAGCACTGATGATAATGCCATACACTGTGAGAAGTCTATATTAGCAAGAAAAACTTAGTTGTGCACTTCAGAAAATTTATGACCCTTCAAAAATACTTTTGTGTAATAACGAGTGTTTTAACATCACCCGTCTACATTTTTCTTCAATATACAGGCCCCTGGAATCTCCACTGTCAGAGCAGTCACAGAGAACTCTATTTTTCATTTTCTCAAAGTAATTTTTTTTGTTCTTTTCTTTTCTGAGGGGTGGAGTGGGGACGGGGAGAGAGAGAATCCCAAGCAGCCTCCACTCTCACAACCCTGAGATCATGACCTTAGCCACCCAGGCGCCCCTCTCAAAATAATTTTTAATCTTAGGAACTCCAATTATTGTACCATTTCTCTGTTTACTGTCCTTTCAGACTTTTGTGATAGATTGTCTATGTCTTTTGGTCTTAATTCCTCTCTTCAAACTCCAGGTCTTCATGGCTTTTTTTCACTTACCAACTACATTTTCTTGGCCGCCACATGTTTTATCCAAGTAGATGTTTTTGATTAGTCCTTTAGAATCTCACAGACTGCCTCTCCAGAAACAGCAGTCTTTTCAACTTTTTTCTTTTTTTATTGGGTACTTTAGGAGAGCTCACTAATTACCCTTACCTTCTGTTATGATAAACATTAGGGTTCCTAAATGATCATAAGGATCCAAAATGTACTGAGAATTTACAACTACAGAATACTTCACAAAGGAGCAATCCTAAGAGGGAAAACCTAAGCAAATTCATAAACAGAATGACGACTAAAGCAAATGAAGGAGTTAAACCTAAAAGAAGTTAGGTTTTGGGGAGCCTGGCTGGCTCAGTTGGTACAGCATGTGACTCGATCTCAGGGTTGTAAGTTCGAGCCCCACATTTGGTGTAGGGATTACTTAAAAATTTTTTTTTTTAAGATTTTATTTATTTGAGAGAGAGTGAGCAAGAGAGAGAAGAGGCAGGGGGCGAGGCAGAACGAGAGGGCGAAGCAGACTCCCTGCCTAGCAGGGAGTCCCACATGGGGCTTGATCCTGGGACTCTGAGGTCATGACCTGAGCCGAAGGCAGACTCTTAACCAACTGAGCCACCTAGGTGCCCCTAGATTACTTAAAAATCTTAAAAAAAAAAGGGGCGCCTGGGTGGCTCAGTCATTAAGCATCTGTCTTCGGCTCAGGTCATGATCCCAGGGTCCCGGGATCGAGCCCCGCATTGGGCTCCCTGCTCTGTGGGAGGCCTGCTTCCCCCTCTCCCACTTCCCCTGCTTGTGTTCCCTCTCTTGCTGTGTCTCTCTCTGTCAAATAGATGAATAAATAAAAATAAAAATAAATCTTAAAAAAGGTTTCTATAGTTCATAACCTCACATTTCTTAATGCATACTAAAAATAAATTCTTAAAATTCTTAAGCTTAATGGAACAGAGAACTTACTGTACAGTCAGAATATAAAGTAATTTTTACTTCTTTTATTGTTAAAGTTACATCCAAATGAAATACTACCACAGTGTATTCATTGATTGGGGTTCTTGCCCCCTTGTGGCATCCAGGATCCTGGTTGAAAGGTTTTACCAGTGCTGGTGGGAGCCACGGTGGGTTCTTCCTTTCCAAAGTACGGAGCAGAGGCATGCCCTTTGATCTGAGTTTGAACTGGTGGAGCCAAGAGTTCTTCATTGCTCCCTTTGCTAAGGAGCTTTTCCTTTCCATAAAGATCTTGATTTTTAATTTTAATTTCTTCTCTATTTTTTTCATTCTTTAGTATTTCCTGCATGTATATATGAATGGAAGAAATTATTAAATTTCTAGTTAGAAGAAAACCCAAACTGTAGGTTTTATGAAAGTAAAATAGCTAATAAATATATATAAATGATACTTGCTTTGCATTTAAATAATATATAGATATGCACAGGACAAGTTTTACAGTTTTTTTAATTAATATTTTATTATTTATTTGACAGAGGGAGAGAGCACAAGTAGGGGGAGTGGCAGAGGGAGAAGTAGGTTTCCCACTGAGCAGGGAACCGGAGGCGGGGCTCGATTCCAGGCCTCTAGGATCATGACCTGAGCTGACTGAGCCACCCGGGCACCCCTCAGATAGCTTTTTTAAACTTGTCTTGTGGGGCGCCTGAGTGGCTCAGTCAGTTAAGTGTCCGCCTTCTGCCTAGGTCATGATCTCTGTGTCCTGGGACTGAACCCCGCACTGGGCTCTCCTGCTCTGGGGGAGGCTGCTTCTTCCCTCTCTCTCTGCCCCTCCTCCCTGCTTGAGCTCTTTCTCTCTCTCTTTCAAATAAATACAATCTTAAAGAAAAAAAAAAGCTATCTGATCATATACCATTATTATTTGAATTAAACAATTCTGCCGTCGTATACTGTAATAAGACATGAAGGACCACAAAATAAAAATATTTACAATTACCCAAGAAGTAAAACAAACTACTTGACATCAAATATCACACAAGAGCCTAAATTACTCTATCAAAGATTTCCTAAGCTTCGCAGCTATTTTCTGGCTCAAAAGTAATCATCAGTGATTGTAGTGGAGATGAAGTGAAGGGGAGATGGCCTCAGAAAGCTGCTCCTACCAGTCTAATTCTCTGTGGGAATTAAAGCATGGATGCTTCTACCGCCCCCCACAGCACCAGAACCAAGTCCCATCTCTGTCCCTTTGTCTTCTGGAGTGGTGGGTGTGGCAGTGAGGGGGAGGACAGGGATGGAATCGGAGTTCAGCATGCCCTAAGGCACCAGTGGCAGAGAGGCACTGTGCTGCTGGAAATGCTTCTTAAATCAGCATTTAAGCTGTTTGTGCAATACAGTTCTGTCCCTCAAAATTGCTATTCTACCCATAAAGATCTATAGCCAAAATTTCATTGGATACAACGGAAACATCAAATTTAAGATTTAAGAAGCATCACTGTTGGGGCGCCTGGGTGGCTCAGTCGGCTAAGTATCTGCCTTCAGCTCAGGTCATAATCTCAGGGTCCTGGGATCAAGCCCCTCATACGGCTCCCTGCTCAGCAAGGAGCCTGCTTCTCCCTCTTTGGCGCCCCCCCCCTTGTGCACTCTCACTCTCTCCCCCACCCCCTCTCTGTCAAGTAAATAAATATTTAAAAAAAGAAGCATCACTGTTACACATACCACTAAAAAAAGGCACCAACTCTACACAGCCTCGTTTCAGAGATGTTAAAATTTGAAAAGATGTACATCTTAAAAACAGATGAAATATAGTCATTACATCTTTTATCTTTATTTTTTTTAAGATTTTATTTATTTGAGAGAGAGAGAATGAGAGATAGAGAGCACGAGAGGGAAGAGGGTCAGAGGGAGAAGCAGACTCCCCGCTGAGCAGGGAGCCCGATGCGGGACTCGATCCCGGGACTCCAGGATCATGACCTGAGCCGGAGGCAGTCGCTTAACCAACTGAGCCACCCAGGCGTCCCTTCTTCCTTTTGTCTTAACAATTACTTTTGAGTGGGTAGTATTTTTAAATGTTCTTTTCGCTTACCTGTATTTTTAAATTTTTCCTTAACATATATATCATTTATAATATGAAAAAACTGAATGTTAATGTAACTAATATCTGACAACACTGACAAAAACAAGTTCTTCCAAGTTATGTGTTTTAATTTCAACATTTTAAAAAATGACACTGAAAAGAAACATCTGGGTAATGTATGATGCCACCTTTCTGTTTCTAAAGTGAATTTCAAGTAGTAATAGTCCTTTAAAAAGGTAAACACTGATAATTAAAATCACATTTGAAATAATGGTTTCTACTTAAAGGAACAAAGAGGTTTTTTGGGGGGTATAG